GCACAGTTCCTGATTTAGTAAGTGCATTTTTTTCCTATCTCAATCAGGAAAAGGATCAGAGATAGCTTGCATCCATGTGGAACAGACAATATTTACTTTTGCCCCACGGATAGCTTGCACCTTTGATGATAAAATGTGAAGGAAGGCCATCTGGACTTTGCACAGAACACCACATTAATCCGCTCCCTCAGTGATGTCACGCTAATTAAGATGAGCCTAAGGTCGCAAGCACACTGGTGGCCTTGTTGTGTGTTCCACAGGGTGGGAGATAAACACGACAAGGATCTGGGGATCTGCCTTACCTGTAATGTTTGTAGGATACCAGTGGTCTGGGCTATGCTGGAATACACTCTGTAAAGACACATTGCTACATTTTGCATTCCCTGCAAGGAAGCAATCACAATACCACTGGGTCTCTTTGGATTCTGGAGGCAACACATGCCACCTAAAACACTAGTCCAGTCCATGTATTGCATGGTGTGAAAAACTGCTAGGTGTGAAGAGGGTCCTAGAGCAAAAAGCTTCTGCCGGAGATTCAGGCTACGATGCAAGTTGGGCCATGTGACCTAGCACATCTTACAGTACTGATGGTGTTCGTGGCAGAAAAGACGCAATGCAGCTTGTCAGAGGTTCGTGGAACTGCCAAGGAGTTTCCTAAATGTGTGTGAAGTGATCTGTGCAGCGATAAGCGGTGGAATGAGGCTGCCAAGGTGTGCCACACACGTCTCAAGAAAACTGAATGCAGATAGCCTGTCTGGCTGACAGTCTGTAGCTGCTACTCCCTAACTGTTGCAGCATTCACGTGGAAGCCATGCTTTCTCCCCGGGTTACTCCTCAGGTCATTTCTGCCCAACCCAGGACTCCTCTGATGGGTCATCTGCTTTGAGATTACCCATCAGCCTGGCAGACTCAGAGCAACTGAGGTCTGAGGCGCTTCCCACTTTTTGCCCCTCTTCCACCACAGGTGTCAGGTGCACATTGAGCTCCGAAGGACTACTCCGCTGTCCTCTCTCCCTTGCCACTCTCAAGGCCCTTTCTCTCCACGTCTCATCGGTGACACCAGTGCATATGCTTACCTGTAAGATGGCAATAATCGGGTGGGAAGATTTTCCAAAACCACCCACATTTACTTGGCTCTCAAGTTTTATTGTCATCTATGCCACGGATGTTTTACTTTTTTGAGTTGGAGTCTCACTCCATCACCCAGGCTGGAGTGCAGTAGCACACTCACAGCCACCCCACCTTCAACCTGCTGGGCTCCGGCGACCCTTCCACCTCAGCCTTCCAAGCAGCCGGAACTACAGGCGCGCGCTACCACGCCTGGCTCATTTTTTTATTGTAGAGACAGGGTCTCGCCAAGCTGCCCGGGCTGGTCTCGAGCCCGCGGGCTCAGGCAACCCACCCACCTAGGCCTCCCAAAGTGCTGGGATTATATAGGCTGAGCCACCGAGCCCGGTCTGACATTTTATTTTCAATTTTACTGCCAGCAGCCTCTGACTGTCAATACCATTCCAGTTCTACATGTTATGTAACATCAGTAGTTGAGTACTCAAGGCCCACAAAAAGCCTGTTTCACAAAGCCCTGCGCTTTACAGAATTCTTTCTGTGCAACTGGGTAGCTGAATCCAGGGGAACTACACAAAATCCACCAAAGGCTGTCTGTTTGTACTAGTGAGGTCATCATCTAGTGAGCTTCTAATTTTTAAGAATTCTGAAGGATTCGGTGCCTTAGTACTTTTTAGTGACACGTCTTACTTTAACGTGAAAGGTGACTTTCTGTTCAGAATTCTAGTTAGGCTAACTTGAGAATACCAACTTCTATCTCCTTGACCACCAAAGCAGCATTCTTGGTTCACTGAACAGAAGTTCAGTATATCCATTATCCCACTACAGCAAGTAACCTCAAACTCTGCTGTTAGGAAAGCATTTATGGTATTGTATTAATTCACAGATCATTGCCTAAAGAACAATTAATTCACCGGTTCCTCTAGAGCAAGCCTGTTTTGTATAGGAAAGTGGATACAATCATTTCCTTTTAAAAATACTCCTCCTCCAGACTCGGGCTCGGTGGCTCAGCCTGTAATCCCACGCTTTGGGAGGCTGAGGTGAGTGGATTGCCTGAGCCCGCGGGTTCGAGACCCACCTGGGTAACTTGGCGAGACCTCACCTCTACAATAAACTAAAAAAAAAAAAAAAAATCAGCCGGGCATGGTAGTGCGTGCCTGTAATTCCAGCTACTTGGAAGGCTGAGGTGGAGGGATCGCCATCGAGGCTGCGGTGGCCGGGAGCGGCCACTGCACTCCAGTCTGGGCGACAGAGTGAGACTCCAACTCAAAAACAACAACAACAACAAAAACTCCTCCTCTACCACAGAAGAGGGTGACTTGTAAAGGCCACATAACAACTGAGTAATGGAATTTAAATTTGTATTAATTTCTGACTACAAAGTTCATTCTCTGTCAAAAGTACTACGTCTACCTCTGTAAAGTCATGAGCCATCTAATGACGTGGCAGACTGCATATACAATGGTGGTCCCTTAAGATTACAAAGGAGTTGAAAATTTCCATCCCTAGTGATATCACAGCTGTCATCACAGCCATCTTAACTTCACACATCGTGCAACCTTTTCATGTTTGTGATGATGCTGGTGTAAACAATCCTACTGTGCTTGCCAGCTATAGAAAAGCATACAATTTTGCATAGTACATACGTGGTAATATTCAAATGTTAGCCAGGCTCGGTGGCTCAGCCTGTAATCCCGTGCCTTTGGGAGGCTGAGGTGAGTGGACTGCCTGAGCCCGTGGGTTCGAGACCCGTGTGGGCAGTGAGACCTCATCTCTACAATAAATTAAAAAATCAGCCGGGCGTGGTAGCGCATGCCTGTAATTCCGGCTACTCGGAAGGCTGAGGCGGAAGGATCGCCGGAGCCCGGCAGGTCGAGGCTGCGGTGGCCGGGAACGGCCACTGCACTCCAGTCTGGGTGACAGAGTGAGACTCCAACTCAAAAAATAAATAAATAAATAAATTCAAATACTACTAATGTATTTACTACTGTTTTGTCAGTGTACTCCATCTACTTACAAAATAAAAAATTAACTGTCAAACAGCCTCAGGCAGGCCCTTCAGAAGGTATTCTAGAAGGCAGTTACCATAAGCAACGACAGCTACATGTTGTCAGTTGTCCCAAAGACTTTTCAGTAGGGCAAGATGTGGAGGTGAAAGACAGTGATATTGATGCTCACTCTCTGTTAGGCCTAAGCTAATGTGTGTCTGTCTTAGTTTTTAACAAAAGTTTAAAGTTAAAAAAATTATTTTGAAATAGAAAAAAGCTTATAAACAAGGATATAAAAATATTTTTATACATCTGTACAATGTGCTTGTGTTTGAGCTAAATGCTAGTCAGAAAGTTTAAAATATTAAAAAGCTAACATAAAGTATAAAAGTTACAGTAAGCTAAGGTTAATTTGTTTTTTTTTGAGCTGGAATCTCACTCCGTCGTCCAGACTGGAGTGCAGTGGCCGCTCCTGGTCACCGCAGCCTCGACCTGCTGGGCTCTGGTGATCCTTCCGCCTCAGCCTTCCGAGTAGCCGGAATTACAGGCATGCGCTACCACGCCCGGCTGATTTTTTATTTATTGTGGAGATGAGGTCTCGCCAGGTTGCCCAGGTGGGTCTCGAACCCGCGGGCTCAGGCAATCCACTCACCTCAGCCTCCCAAATGCACGGGATTACAGGTTGAGCCACTGAGCCCGGCGGGTTAATTTGTTATAGAAAAAAGTTTCAAATGTAGTTCAGCTTAAGTAAACAGTGTCCATAAAGTCTACAGTGGTGCACGTGTCCCAGGCCTTCACATGCACTCACCACTCACTCACCCGGAGCAATTGCCAGTCTGTAAGCTCCATTTATGGTCAGTGACAAGAGTACCATTTTTTATTTTTATTTTTTTTAGTGCCTTTATGTTCGCCATTTTGGTGAATTACTGGAGACGGCGGTTCCGGCCCAAAGGTAGACTCATTTAAAAAATCTTTTATAGGGTATTTCTACTATACCTCTTCTATGTTTAGATATACAAATACCATTGTGTTACAACTGCCTGGTATTCAGTACAGTAAAATGTTGGGCAGGTTTGTTGCCTAGGAGCAACAGGCTATGCCATTCTAGATGTGTACCAGGCTGTATCATCTAGGTTTGTGTAGGTATACGCTATGATGTTTATACAATACATTCACCTAACAACACATTTCTCAGAATGAATCCTTGTTATTAAGCAACACATGACTGTATATACACATCGGATGCCCTATAGTTCAAAAATACTAGATCAAACAGGTCTGCAGTCATAAGCAGATTAAAATATAGTGGCAAGACTGTGATCAGTCTGTGGTAGAACCTCGTCAGGGTGAAACAAAGGTAAAATCCACCTAGTATGTATTTTAATGCCTGCCTATGTGCCAAAAGGAGTAATTATTTCAGTAAATATTATAGCAGTCTTTAGGAAAAAAAATTTTTTTTTCAATTTGAGTCAGGGATCTCACTCTGCAACCCAGGCTGCAGTGCAGCAGCACAATCATGGCTGATCACAGGCTTGACTTTCTTGATCCTTCCACTTCAAGCCTTCTGAGTAGCTGGGACTACAAGTGCACATCACAACATATGGCTTTTTTTTTTTTTCTTTCTTATTTTTGTAGAGACGAGTTCTCACTATGTTGCCCACACTGAACTCAAACTTCTATGCTCAGGCAATTCTCCTGCCTCGGCCTTCCAAAGTGCTGGGATTTTACATACAGGCATGAGCCACCATGTGCAGCCAAGATCAATCTTTCAAGAACTACAGGACTCAAGAGTTTCATCTAGCAAAAGGTGAGGAGGAGGAAAGAATAAAGAGAACGAAGACAAATGTGGCACTAGATGTCAAGTCGAGATACCCGCACAAAGTGAATTCATCCAAGATAGAGTGCTTAGAAAACAGCTGCCAAAAAGCAAGCCACACGCTATGCTAATTTATTTCCAATTCATGGTGTTTTTATTTTAGAAAACACACTGAATCAAACAGGTTAGAGTTATTGCTTCCTTGTTCTGTGTATTTTTATTTTCCACTTGAAAAAGCAGAGACAACTCTATCTTCTTCCATTCTGTTGCTGAAGCAAGCAAAAAGATCACTGGTGACTTCAAAAAGAACCTAGGGGAGAACAATGCATACAATTCACTTAAATCACAGATTCAAATAGTCTCTATAATGAGGATGAGAAAACAGAAAAAGGAAACAGACAGAAAATCAACTAAGTTGAAAATAAATTGTTACAAATTGGCTATACTATAACCAAAAACCACAACCAGTCTTTTGTTATTACCATACTTTGTCCTGGTGATCTCAGTTAACAAAGGTATATGCTGATGCTGACTTGGAAGACATTTAATTAGTTCTTATCATTAAAAATTAAAAGCTAAATCTACTACTGTTTTAGAGAGGCAACCTTACTCCCCACATTTATTTGACCCTTCTCCAGGAGAAACTGTAATTTGTTCTTTCTAATGGGTAAAGAACCATTCGTTCAATTTATAGGTTCATAATACAGTCTACCTCATTAAGATGTGGACACGACAATAATGCACACCTTTTCTTTTAAAAAAAAAATTTTTAGGCCGATATCTGGTTAAGTATACTTTCCAAGAGATTAATTTAAACTGCACTAGAGAAATAACATATTTTTTTAATCAGCCCAATTTCAGACAATTAATATAATTTTAAAAATACAATCATAGCCGGGCTCGGTGGCTCAGCCTGTAATCCCAGCACTTTGGGAGGCTGAGGTGAGTGGATTGCCTGAGCCCGCAGGTTCAAGACCCGCCTGGGCAACTTGGCAAGACCTCATCTCTACCATAGATCAAAAATTAGCCAGGCGTGGTAGCACACGCCTGTAGTCCCAGCTACTTGGAAGGCTGAGGTGGAAGGATCGCCGGAGCCCAGCAGGTCAGAGTGAGACTCCAACTCAGAAAAAAAAAAAAAAAAAATCATAAAAAGATGATTCAGTAATACTTCCTTAACAATCCTACAATATAGACACAACCATGCTTCATTTTAGTCAGAAAAACTGTACCAAGAAAAAACTGGAAAAAACAAAATACCTTATACAACACACAAAATAAAACAAAATTATTGTGCCAATATGCCCAAATACACAAAATTCAACTTATGCTCTCATACTAGTGTTCTAATAATTTTGGGTTCAGGTTAAAATTCAACTTGATCATCTTCTTTCAGTTCTGAAGCATTAACATTCCTATATACTAACCATAATTATTAAGACAAAACTGATTAAAAAATTTAGACTTTGAACATATTATCTGAGGCAGTGTGTTCTCATGTTCCATACCAATATGTATGATACATTTTAGCATTAAGACAATTAAAAAAATAATAGGGGCCTCCTTTTACGTGTTTAGAAAAGAAACAAAATTCACTATATATTTAGACACTATATTAGTTATTCTGGCATCATGTTACTATATATCCTATGATTCCAAGTAAAATGAGCATCTTATATAACTATCCACTTACCCACTGCTAGCCTAAAAATCTGCAAAAAAAAGAGGCATTTCAGAAAAATTAAAGCTTATCCTGTTTTTACCATCTACAAACTTTGAAAACAATTATTCTGAGAGCTAATAAAAATGTTTCTAAAATCTAATAAATTTAGATCAGTAAGTTTTAGCCTTCATCTAAAAGAATAAAAATTGATATGCTCCAGGATGTATGTTTCTAAAACATTGACTGTTTTGCTCATATTCTGATTCCATTAGAAACTTAAAAAAAAAATCAGTTAACTTGAAGTTAAAAGTTTAAAGACTAAGAACCATATGCCTTTCATTTCTGTCCACGTGATCTTAAACAGCATGGTTGCCAGGAACACTAAAGATACTATAGTTAAAATGAACACGTGAATAGTCTACATCTTATTATATATTTAAGGATTAAGTTTACATTCTTTAATTCTAGCAGACTCAAAGTATCACATAATTTCTTTTAAGCAGCCTAAGCAAATTCTAATACATAAAGAATTGCAATGTTGGTATCCTGATTCACATATCTAAAGGCAGTACAGATTCAGAGCAGATACAGACATAGAGAATGCAAATGAAGGGGGTGAAGAGGAAGAGAAAGACACACACACACTCTTAAAAAAACAGGCAGAGAAGAAGAACGGCAACACTGGGTAGGAAATTGAAAAGGACTGAAAGCGACAGAAGCATACAGACAGACTGAGGTAAGAGAAGCACAAAGACAGGGAGAGAAAGTGGAATAGAGAGGCAAATAAGTAAGATGCAAAAGTAAACAGGTAGAGCGGAACTGATGGGCATGGCTGGCACAGTGAAAAGGAAATGGGACTAGATCAAAAAGAAAAGCCAGGTGGAAGAAAAGATCTTTCCCCCTAATTTAGTTTTTCAAGTTATAGTCTTCTGTTGTTATCCCTCCAGGGCTTCTACAAAAAAAGGAAGAACCTTTTGTTTTTATAAAATCGTTAACAATGCATATTTCATTTCTCTTGTAGATTAAAAAAATCATATTTATTGTCAGCATAATTTTAGTCATTATTAAAGATCACATATATCAATGTACTGAGGAGAAGATCCTAATTGTACATTCTGCTAGTTATTTTTCAAAGTAAAGGATGAGAGTACACCAGTTAGGTCAAACTCAACCTAAGGCCAAGACCTATAGGCATTTAAGATTACACGCCACAGGAAATAATCACATAACATGCAACACTGATATCGGACTGAAAACATGTCTTAGTTAAAAGCAACTTACCATGTAGAGTCAAAGCCCAGAACTCCAGTCCTGTCTCCATTTTTGTGCCCCCCTTGCTTCACTTGGCATGCCATGCTCCATCTCCTCTCCTGTGCAGATTTTAAGTCAGTAGCCATGGATCTGAAGAATTTCTTCCTCTGCTGCCACCTACCAGTTTAATTCTCTGCTGCAGCAGAAGGGTATATAGAAAAAGTACTTGCTTACTATTCAAATTAAATAGAAAAAAATTTCTTTGCTTAACATTTCATATTTTTGCATATGCACCAACTTTTTCACGTCTCCCCCAGACCTTCCCTCCAAAAATCAGAAACAAAAATCCCAATCACAGAAAAATCAAACAATGTATGATCAATGTTCATGCTAAGCAGGGAAAATAAAATAAAATAAAGTGGAAAGATTTAGACACTCAGCAGTTGCCATCTCAAGAAGCCATGTTCTTTTCTGCTAGTTTCCTTCTCCACCTATACCTACATTCTACAAATAAATACATAACTTAGAATTTTAACTACGTAGTCTACAACTCCTACAATTTTTAAGTTCAGAGACTATCCAAAGAACTGTGGAAGATGCAGCAATATAAAAGAGTTTCTTAAAGTAATTCTAGAAACTAAGGGTGTTAGGTGCTTTACCTGCTTGAGTTTTCAATGTTCTGGACTGCTTATTGCCCAATGGCTCTGAATACATTAAAACACGAACACATACGCCACCTACATTTAAAATAGGGTCGCATTTGTATGCCCATATAAGCACTGGGTATATTTTTTGCAAAAGAGTATTAAGTTCATTAAGTCCTTTAAACAGGACTGACCATGAAAACACATTTCCTCAAACTATATACATACAGAGAAGAATCCGGGGGGAAAAGGGAGACAGAATGACAAATGTAATAGCAGTTGTAAATTGGGTATTAACACGGCATAAATGTTTTGTTTGTTAAAATCCTGAGATTCATTTCGATTCCCACTCTGTTTATCACTGGGGTCTAGTTATTAAGGGATAGTATCCAGTAATGGACTAGCAATACAGTAATGGCTTGTTTTTGTTCCACCCTCCCACTACCTTCACCCAAGATAAAAATATGTACAGTTTTGCCAGCTTAAAAAAAATCAGGATATAAAACAAACACTGACATAAGCACCAAAGGCTAATCAACAGTGGCGTGGCAGTAACATTGTTTCTACTTTCTCATTCCTTCCCCCATCTCAAGCCCCACCCTTTGACCTCTGTGTATGGGATGAGCCTGAGCAGGAGAGGTGGAGATGTCAGGACTGCGCCGTTCCCACGGATGCTCCTAGAGGCCTGTTGTGCTTCTGGGAACTGGGGCACAGGGATGTCTGTCTGACTGAAACCTAAAACAACAACAGTTCACCCCGCCCCTCATGTTCCAACCCCACAATAGCAGCCAGGTATCTTATGCTATTTAGGTTCACCTAGTAAGTGTGAATATGGCAAAATCTAAAAGAGCAAGGTTATTGTAGCAAGTCAGTGGTACTCAATGGGGGGGGCGGGGAGAAGTAGCAGACTGGAGACTGTTAAAACTCTCCATGCCTTAGGCAATCATACTGTCCATACATTCTAATGCTGGCCATTCTTATCAGCAGAACAAGGTTCTCCTGAATGAGTTTTTAAAAATTACATACCACAAATTCTTGCGGGAATGCAGTTGGGATTCGTTTGTTAGTAAATTCCAATTCAACACATAAATATTTTGTCTTAATAACTTATTACATGTCCTCCTTCAGCTGTAGAAATAGCATTATAAGCCAGGATTTCCTATTCATTAACTAGTAACTTACTGGACTCACAGCCTCTTTGAATAGGACATCTTGAGCCATAGGATAAAAATCAGGTAGTAAATGTATCTTTAAAAAATCCTGACTACTTTCACTAAAATTCTAGCTATTAAAAACAGGATTACCTCCCAAAATAATAAAAAAACTCCGACCACAGTCACAAGAAAGGATAGCAGAAAAGGAGGAGAGGGTAGGCTAGACTGGGGTAGACAGAGGAGGAGATAGTTTATTTACAGGAAGGCTATTAAAATGGGAAAGCTGTATTCCTAATTCCTGTGACTAACTTTCTTATGAACCTGATTAATCTGCATAACCATCTTGTGCTTCAGAACTGTTGTATCTGTTCAAATCTGTCATTTTTGAATGTTTAAACCACAATTTTATGATAATCTCAAACTGCTTACCTCTGCTAGAATCAGTCTCAGAAATGCTAAAATAGTTAGTTCTGAAATCACATTCTTCTAAAATAATTAAAATGTTTTTAATCTACATCTTATCATTCCCTTTCACTTTGATAATGTAATAGAAACAGAAGCACTGAGGTCAACTGAAAGCTATGTTGAGTTTTTACCATATAGCCTAGAACCTACTTTTACCTTTTCAAAACTCTAGTTTTCCATACCTGTCAATTCCTAATTGATGTCTTTATATTGTGAGCTCACTGTGTATTCGGAACACCAACCCCTGAAAAAGCTTAAGCCAGAGTAGCACAATGGAAGAAACAAACAAACCCAAAACAAAAACAAAGCCAAAAAAGTCACACTCTGAAATACGTAATTATAGACATATATGCAAGGAATGGAGTTATCTAAATGGCTAAACAAAATGCCCAAGAAAGTCCCGAGTTCATCCCAATCAATCTGAACTTTACCCCCAAAAAGTTCTTCATCAAATTATTTGCTAGATGTATTTATGTATCTTTTTTTAAAAATGAGAGTTATGACAAACCCATGGTTGCTTTTAAAGTACATCAAGAAAAGGAAATTTTTTCAAAAGAAAGTTAGCCTAGTGATGGAAAGAAAGGAGAGAGTCTAATTACCTGCCAGCAGGCTGGGGCTGTGCCTGAATCCAAACCGCTGCATTTACCATTCATTACACAGCTGCATTATTGGGGGAAGGGGAGTTTAGAAGGGCACTGACCCCGAAAGTTCTCAATACTTCTCACTCATCATCAGGAAGGGGGAAGAAGGAAAGTTTTTTCTCTGGGTATTTTTTTGTTTGTTTGTATTTGTTTTTTTGGCTCCTGAAAAGGCTGGTAAAGAACAGTAACATTGGAAGAAGTTAGAATATTTCTTTAAAAACAATGTAAAAACTGCAAAACATTAAGGATTTAAAAGGCCAAACTTGTTAATATAGAAAATTTTTCACTAGAGTTAGGCAGCCACCCCAAAACAGCATGGCAAAATGGCATTGGTATAAAGGAAACAAAATATCACACAAAAATCCAAAACAAAACTAAAAACATTTCAAATTAAACCTGGAAGACTAGAAGATTCCAACAGCAGATTTCTGTCCACTACTGAAACATTCCAAAATCCAAGCTTCAAAGGCGCCTAAATGTATTTTAAATAAAACTTTGTTTGTTTTTTTTAAAGAAAAAAAAGAAAAAGAAAGAAAGAAAGCAGTGAACCTGGTTATAATTCCTGCAATATATTACATTTTAAAAAATCCTATTACAACAAAAACAAATCTTAAATGAAATTAAACAAACAAACAAATAAAAACAGTAGCAGCAGAGGTTACCTGTCTGAGCACCTACATTTTCTTAGGAGGGGATCGTGTCTCACCAGCCAAATAGCCCATAAACCTTCTCAAAAAAAGTGAGCCAGAAGAAAAATAACACAAGATTTGATTTCACAATGTCTCTAAGCCCCCCAAACCCCAAACTGGGGATTCACTGAATGAAGAAAATTTTTTTCCATTGCTTTCTTCTTAGAAAAAGATGATTTTGAAAGTCAATGCCTTTGATATCTTCTCAAAGTCTGATAATGTGCTTGATGAAACCAAGTCTCTTGTTGGATTTTTCTAATGTTCCAGGGTAGTTTCTTATTGATAGCATATACAGAAAGATTTCAAAGTTCATTGGAGAAAAGCCAGCAGAAATGACCAATCAATTATAGGCACCAAAAAGAAAAAAACTATTAAAAATTTTAAATAGTTCATACTTATATATGTTTAGATATAGCTATATATCTATATATATAGTCCAGTTTTCATCATGGGTTAAATAAAAACAATATCAGAAATAATTATTTTAAAATACAATTTAGAATTACAATTTTAACAATATACAAAAAATTTACAATAATTCAGATTTTGCCATGATTATACATTATTTGATAAATACATTTTACCTCTCATAATAGCAATGATTATACAAAAGTTGTTAAACAATTATGAAAATAAATTTAACTTTCATTTAAATATCTGCTGCTGTTTCCCCTGGGTTCTTCCAGAATGACTTGCTCATATTCTTAACCTTAATTTTTGAGGGAATTCAAGAAGATATCCATGTTTTTTAAAATCTAAGATGACCATTCCTGCCCTTTTCATTCTAACATGTTGTGTGTACGATCCAGAAATAGGTTGCTAAAGTTATGTTTTAATATAGTGTGAATGAATGCACAGGAGATGGATAACTAGTGAGTAAAACTACAGATGAACTAACTTTGGATGTTTCCTATAATACAGTTGCTCAACTTGGTATAAGTTAAAAATAAAGGATAACTACATTTTTCCTTGTTCCTTACCCCACCAACACAAACATGAACTTTTCATCAAATAGGGTGTTCTATCTGTGTTTTTAAATGCATTAATCTACATACACATAACATATAACTGGTCAAAGTATATGCATCATAATATATGTGGCAACCAGGTGGTCCCTTATAAACATGAATGATGACTAAGAAGTTCTTTCTTCCTCATTTATTTCTCTATACCACATGGTATGCATCCTTCAAAATATGGTCATTCAGCAAAAGAAGTACCAAGTATTTCTTTCAGTTAATGAGTCAGAGGTACTAATTATAATGTATGAGTCCCCAATTACCCTGTGCAAGCCAAATTCTTCTAGATGTGATTAGAATATCCTAAGATAAATGAGAAACTCCTTTTAAGTATCTTTTCTGAGGTGAAATGAGACACTGCACAGATGAGAGGTACTATTCTATTCATCAACAATCAACCTTTCACTCAACTTTAATTAAGTATTTAATTCTATGGAAAAAACAAATTTTATTACATTCCTTTTTAAATCGGGGGAAAAAACTGTACAAGTAAGCATGATCAAACCTCTGTTAGAGCTGGTTAATACTGATCTTTTATTATTGCCTCGAAGTCTCTCTAGCAGTGTCCAAGAAATTATGCTTAAGGTCCATCTGAAGGAAAATAGCACTGGAGAGGCAAGAAAGGGCTTGGGTAAAAGCTTCAGAGGATTTGTAGGGAGATTGAACTTGCTGTTTAAAAAATTACGTTGAATTCTGCAGCATCTCCATTTCTTAACATACCATCCAAACCCATCATTGGGATAGTTTTACCCATGTTTTAAAGGCTCATATTATATGCAGTTTTGGGGCTTTTACGAATTCAAAAGGGAATATAAAGAGTGGACAGTATTGAAGGCTTTAAGAGTAGGGCTATAAGATGCTCAATACTGCTAAATAAGTCCCCAAACAAAAATACCCAGCCCCACCCCATCCCAATTCCTATATGTAAAAAGAAAAAATGCACAGCCAGAAGCTTTAAAAGAAAAGCACGTAGCCTTGAATAAATCATACACTGAACGGTCTAGAAACAAACAAAAAAAACAAACAACATACATATACACAGATAGGCCTAAAAAGCATCTATTCACCTTATGTCTTTAGGTGAAGATCTCTACCCTAGTGGAGTAGAAAACAACTCATCTGTTTTTTAAAGTCAAAAACTGTATTTCCCATCATGCTCCAATTCCTAGAATCTATCCTGTTTGATTAATTGATGTAAACAAAACCCAAAACATATACACATGCATGCGTGCACACACAAACATATATACTCCCTCGTAAAATGTAAAAAATGCAAATATATAACGCTGGCATTAGAAATCACTTCAGCTTTATACTTAAGAACTTATAGGCCCTTGATTTGCCCCCCCCAAAAAGTATTTTTTCCTTGTTCTTATTCTTTAAATGCCCAACCAACAAAAGAAAAAGGGAAAAATAAAAGGTTTTAAATGTACATGTTTCAAGTCAGTGTCTTGTTAACAAAAAAGGTAGCATTTTCTTCACTTTGGCCATTGTTAAAGATGCAGGCATAGAGCAGGGAATGTTAGACTAGCATGTATTTAAAAAAAAAAAGCAACATTAACAGAGCATATATCTTTCAAAAAAGACTAAAACACTAACAAATACAAGTCAATGCACATATTTTAAACTAGTGTAATTTTATCTACATTGAGTAAATGTTATTTTGTATACCAGACATTGCAATACTGTTCATTTTCCTTTCATCATGCAAACATGCCAATTTTGTCATTGAAAAGGCTTTATGGGGTTATATTTACTTTGTCCTCCCCTAGCCATAGTAAGAGAGGGGAAAAAAAAAAAAATCAATGAGAAAACACAAAAATAAGAAGTAAAAGAGCCCCTGGATGAACTACAGCTGTTAGTTGATAGGAAAATGGCAAAATTTTCAAATTTGTTTACGTAAAAAAATTTGTGTAATTTAAGCAGACCTTTTCCTCACACATTACAAATCTTACAATACAATATGAAGTTGTGCTACTCAGATATTTGTACCAAAACAACTATTTGTACAAAAACAAAAGCAAAGGACCATGCAAAAATATATGTATGGTCCTCAAGGCCCACAAGCATAGAAACTTTTCAGTAATTTAAAAGGGTAACTACAAGAGCCTGAAATTTTTATATATTCCACCTCTTCTGCCTCTCTTTCTGCAGAATTTGCAAATGAAAATCAGTAACATCTTACTAGCAGAGGTCTCGTCTATCTCCCCCTTCTCTCCAACTAATCCTACTAATTTTCTCCCATCTTCCTGAGAATCCTTCATGAACAGCATTGCAAGTTGGTTTAAAAAAAAAAAGAAAAGAAAAAAAGAAAGTTAAGTTTTACAAGGGTTTTGTTGGTTAATCACTAGTGGAGTCACTCCACCAGGAGTTTGATTTCATTGGCTAGCAGCTGGTTCATGTTGAATAGGCCCCCTGGGAGCTTGGTGAGCAGCTCTCGCTCCGTGCTTTCAGGGTCGCTGTCGACAGAGCTGGAACTTGCGCTCATGTTGTCGACAGCAGTGCTGGCTGGGGGACCCAGCTCCGGCTCACTAGTCTCACTGGCCGTGGACACCACGGAGAGCAGGGACATACGCCGAGTGAGCCGGCCAGAGGGTAGAAGGGAGGCGGCATAGTCCGCTATGACACCAGCTACATCTAGATTACAAGCCTTATCAAAGGCGATGAAACCTACATTTGCATTGGCCTCGCAGACACAGAAGGAGCCGTCATCTTTCATCAGCAGGTCAATGCCACATACATCCATCCCCAGGATATTAGACACCTGGATGGCCAGCTGCTTCCCTTGTTCACTCAATGAGCACATCATCCCCACACCACCTGGCAAAGAGAAACAAGATAGGAAGTTACCAAAATGACGAATTTTTGTAATAAAATTAAAGCTGGTTTCCAAGGCTAAGCCTGGCTTATAAATTGGAAGTGAGAACAAAAGTGTTCTTCTAGCGTAAAATGGGAACCGTGAAGTCTACATTTCCTTCTGCAGCGATCCTCTCCCTCCCTAGTCTCCCAGGAAATGATGCCTTACTACTTTTTCAATGCTAATTTTTCCCCAAGAAAGACATTACAATTTCACTGAAGCCTATCCAACTTGCAACAATATAGACAAAGTATAAGGAACTTCACCATAAATAAAATCAGATCACTTTGTTTTATTTTTTTAACTTTTTTTGAGTTGGAGTCTCACTCTGTTGCCCAGACTGGAGTGCAGTGGCCGCTCCTGGCTACCGCAGCCTTGACCTGCTGGGCTCCGGCGATCCTTCCACCTCAGCCTTCCGAGTAGCCGGAATTACAGGCATGCACTACCACGCCCGGCTGATTTTTTGATTTATTGTAGAGATGAGGTCTTGCCAAGTTGCCCAGGTGGGTCTTGAACCCACGGGCTCAGGCAATCCACTCACCTCAGCCTCCCAAAGCACGGGATTACAGGCTGAGCCACTGAGCCCAGCTCACTTTGTTTTATATATGACACAATGTTACTAGATTTTGACTTGTAAAAACAATAAAGACGCATAAAAGGACCGAAGATGGGGTGGGTCGAGAACGTGGCAACCTGAACACAGCGCTCTTTCTCTATAGTCCCCACGTCAATTGATCTGGCATTCCTAAGCCAAAAGGCTTCCGGTCTTAAGATAGCTGGATGGGCAGAAGTCGTCTTGGGCTTTGCTGTTATCTGACAACAAGGAATTAGAAATAGAACTTAATTTTCCCACTTGGAAATCAGCTTCAGAAAGCTCTGAACTAAGGACAAGAAAGCAAAGATCTCTTAGAAGAGCTTGGCTCAAAGACCCGCCTGGGCAGGTAAGACCTCATCTCTACAATAAATCAAAAAATTAGCCAGGCGTGGTAGCGCATGCCTGTAGTTCCAGCTACTGGAAGGCTGAGGTGGAAGGATCGCTGGAGCCCAGCAGGTCAAGGATGCGGTGGCCGGGAGTGTGCCACTGCACTCCAGTCTGGGCGACTGAGTGAGATTCCAACTCAAAAAAAAAAAAAAAAA